AATCAAATTACCACCTTCCCAGACTTTCTTCTCATTATAATTCTGGATTTGATAGCAACTTTTGTGGCTACATTCAAAAGCTACGTTAGCTCATCGACCAAGACATACGCCTACCAGATCCATGTTTACAAACTCCAGCTCTTCTCTATGTTTTTCAACTAAGAGGAACAACACTAACCGTTAAGACATTAATTCTTAAACAGTAAATGCTGTGTTTCCTAATGAAATGCAGAAAGTGAGATTTATTTTCTTCTGCATCTTTCACAAGACTCTTCTTATGATTAATTCCAAAGTGCAGTTTCATCCAAATGAAACATAATGTGATCAAATAAACCAAATTTACCCCACAGTAATAATTTTCTGAAAAACAAAAATTTAAACGAATTAATTAAATTGAGCCTATTTCAAATAAGCTAACAACTGATTTCTTTTCTGTCGTGTTCACAGAAGTAGATATACCAGTTCACATTGTCTGTTCAGATTCTACAATAGCAGGGAAAATAATGTAAAAGTCATAGTGCTAAAACCTAGAAATAGGGCAAGGAGCTGTCGATAGAGCATGGGGGGATAAGTCAAAGGACAATAGTTTCTGATGCTACAATCTCTGCTGCAGTGCTCAGTTCTTCCAGCACAGAGCTCTCACTCCAGGGCTGCCGCGTAAGGTTGTGTGTGTGTGTGTGTGTACCGAGTAATCCCCAGTGGCAGCAGGGACAACAAGCCCTGGTTGAGGACTGAAGTATTGCAATTCAATAATGCCACCACTGAGATGACTTCAGGAAGAAGAAATAACAACAGTTTATTGTATGCGGGGACTCATTTCAGAGGAAACAAAGAAAAGTAACAATCGTGTACACAGGTCAGAAAAGTGAAACACCTTTTTACAGGGGAAACATCTTTTGTACAGTGCACTAGGAGAGGCTGACACTATCTCCAAATTTTTGAAAGGTTGCCATCAAAAGCCGAGGTTTTAAACGCATGCCAAAAAGTAATCTAATAGAAATGGAAGAAATTCAAGAAAATAGAAATGACTGCAGTTTAGTACCTAAATAATTCCTTAAACAATGCTCAATGATGAGGAAGAGGAAACGCGAAATGAATAACAGGAAAAACTACAAGCTGGTTTTCGCTTTGCAAGAATATTTTCTCTTGTGCTTGCACTGCTTGCCTGTCACTCGAGCCTTTTCAAAGCATTGGCCTAAACAAACAACTAAGAAGTGTAAGAAACCATGAGGACAGACTCTGATCCTGTGTCTTACAGCCTGAGCAAGCCCAGTAAAGAGTCGGATTTGCTACAACCAAGACAACAGACGGATGGATGCCTTCCAAGGCTGCTTTGCTGAAGGTGGCAGCTTCACCAGCCCTTCCTTGATCTCTCTTTCTGGGGCAGCACTGGGGAAGGGGTGAGCAGATGAACAAAGGGTGCCATGTGGTTCTCCACTCCCATGTCTGTGTCTATATGTGACACACTGTGTTTGCAGGCGTTTCTTGTATTTCACGACCTGATTCATTGGATTCTCAGTGTGCATACGCTTTTCCCGTGGAGTCACTATGCACCTTGAGAAGCCATAACAACTTTTCCTGTGCAATAAAGTGAAAGAGTATGAGCTTAAGAACCAGGTAAGACTGGGTTTTGAACTCAGCTCTAAACTGTGAGCAAGTGGCCTCTACTTTACTTGCCTCATCTGAAAAATGGGGAAAACAATGAGCTCCTCTTGGAGAAATAATTTAATGAACACATGAAGGTCAGACAATGCCTGGCCTATGAAAGTCTCAAAGAAAATGTAGCTAGTACTGAGCTGCCATTTAGCAAGGGAGAGATTTAGCGTGGAGCCAGACTGCCGGAGTTTGAGTGTTTTGGCTCTGTGACTTACAGCTGTGTGACCTTAGGCAGGTCACTTCAACTCTATGCTTCAGTTTCCTTATCCCTAAAATGGGAACAATGATAGCCCTGCCTTTTGGGAGTTGTGGGGAATGAATGCGTTAATATACATACAGCACTAAGAACAGCACCTGGCACATAGGAAGTTCTCAAATATCTTAGCCATTATGATCACTAGGGTATGAATTAGCAAATTATTTCACCTGTCTCCTAGGGTTGTTGGGAGGTTTATATAAGAAAACACATAAAAGTACTAGCAAAGGTCCCAGGTCATATTAAGTCCTTAAAATTAGATATGACTTTGGTGCTTATCATTACTATGATTATTAGTGTTTCACTATACTGACTAGTTCTATAGTATAAGACAGATTTCCATAGTTCTAACAATAATGACTTAGCATTATTAATTAATTATCTGCTATCATGAGTTGGTGAAAACAGTATTTTCACATCTGGCTGATAAAAAGTATAAATCAAAAAGGGATACAATAATATAATTTTAAAAAACACAAAATGTATTAGCCTTTCTGGAAATTTCTGACTTTACTACATTCTAACTCTTTGTCATACAGATTTTCTGAGTTTTCAAAGTCTTGTCATGTGAGTTAATTAAAGATATATTTATTTCCCTCAAAGTAATTTGAGCCAGTCCCTTGGTATTCAGCTAAATTGAACTCTAGTATTTTGGAACGGTATCTGTTGACACAAATATATTTGGCATCACTGGGGAATTTAAAACTACATACAGACAGTGTCATGACCCCTCAGATTCAAGATGACAGCATTATTACAGAGGACAAATGTTGCTAAAAAGTTTTATGCTGTCATTTTCTATGCGGAACATATGTGCACGTTAGTTTCTAGTTAGCAGTGGCAGTTAGAAAGACTATAGTTTTGCAAACATTCTTAACAAGGCAGGCTAGGGTTGCTTGAAAAAATAAGCACGAGAGTCTGGTAAACTCTGCAGCAAGACATGTGCAACCTTTTACTCACCTTCTATCTGGTCTTGAGATGGGCCCGTGGGGAAAATCAGTTCCCTGGCTCGATTTGGCCCAGAGGCATGTTCGGTTCTTACCCAACCTGGGGGATATGAGCTCACGCTTGAGATTTTGTTTGAGTTTTGCCTGGATATTTCTAGTGTGGGAAATTCCCTGATGGCTAAATTAAACTAAAAATTTAAGAATTCGGAAACTGACAGGCCTGGGAAGAATATTTGTGGCTCTAGGTCTTCTGCACCAACGTTTTCTTTTTCTAAGTGGAGAAGTAACATGAGGAGGCCCTTCGTGCTGAATGACCAGACTTTGTCACCTTGCCTCGGTTTCAGGTTTTCACAAGCCCTTTCAGAGGTCAAGGGAGGCACAGGCCATTGCCATATTCAACAAAAACCAAAAGGAAGAAGAAAAAGATATGCCAAAATAGGGTTACAAGATTTGTGGTATATTCTAAATGTCAATATTTAACAAGTAAACAATTCCAGCACACACGCATTCAGTTCAACATAATTATGCCTGCCATTCCTGAGGTGACGAAGGGAGTTAATAGGGGATTTATTAAAAATATTGGTTCCTAGTTCATGAGAGATGAGTAATGAGAGGCCCAGTCATGAGACATGTAGCTAAAGTTGGCTGATGCTGTCTTCTTTCTTTAAGCCTCCCAGTGCTTCTCTGTAACAGTGGGTGTAAACTGGTGGCACTGAGGCCCTTTGGGACAGTGAGGCCCTTGCTAGTGGCTCCCTGAGGGGCCCTTCTCAGTCCCAGGGCATCTGCACTGCGGAAGGTCCAGCTTATTTAGTTAGGTGCCGCTGCCTGTCTTTCTAATGCCAACTTTCTTCTGTGGTCAAGTGAGCAGACCAGCCCAAGAGCCTGGGCCGAGCTGGCACACTTCCTGATAGCATTCTTTGCTTTGTTCTTTTTCCCAATTCACATGCCCTGAGTTTGATCCCTTGTTTTCAATGAATAACCAAGTCAAAAGCAGCCTAAAGAAGGACAAGTGTGTGTTGATAGAGTCAGTAGGCCTTGGGGTGGGCAGTAGGGGAAGGATGTGGAGAGACTTTGAGCAGAAGGAAGCAGAAATAAGTACATGCACCTTTAAAGTACATTGCTGATGAGGACTTTCTCCATAAGAGAGGACCCCTCAGTAGCATAAGAGGGGGCTGGAGACTGTCAAAGTTCCCCAAAAGGAGCATGCTGGTCAGAGTTTTTCCCATGAAGCCATTACTTCTGACTTGATGGCAGTTTCCAAACTGGGCAGAGTGCTCATGACTTTGCTATCAAACCTGACTGACAGAGATTGTCCACTTTCCTTGAAATTGTGTTTGCAGATATCAGATGAGGCTCACATTTCTACATCCCTAGGGGGAAGCCAGGCAGGGGGTTGGGGGCGGGTGAGCAGTGGCATCCCAGCAGATGGGGGGGTGCCAGTGAGCTTGACAGGCTTGAGGATGGGGAGCCTGGGTGCAAGGCACAGAGAGAGAGAGAGCAGGTGAAGGGAGGGACAGAGACGGCAACCTGCTGGCCTTAACGTGGGGGAAGAGAGGTGCCACTGAGTGATTTGTGGAGAGGACGCATGGGAACATCTGAGGCTGGTTTAACATACTGGGGAGTAAAGTGGGATGGTGACCTTACGAGGAGAGCTTAGGACTTGGGGTCAGTGCCTCAGAAGCCCCTCCCCCTGCCTCTCACCCAGACCTTTAAACTGCACTACTAAATCATTCGATTGATGCATAAGAGGGGTAGGAAAGTTTTGATATGTCTAGTCCAGGCTTCCCATAGGAGCCAGCGACCCCCTGTAAAATACGCGGGGTCCAGCGGCTCTCCAGCACTCCCCGTCTCCCCAGAACACAAGTCCTTTCCAAGGCCCGTGGGCACTTAGGACCCAGTGGTCCCCTGCTGCCTCTTCGGGCCCCATCTCCTTCCATTCTCCCCTCAGCCACCCTAACAGGCACCCTCTGGCCTCAGGGCTTTCCTGTAAGTACTGCTCTCCATGCTGTTCCCAGATCCCCACAGGGCCTGCGTCCCCACACTTCATCGGACTCCTTTCCATGCCCCCTGTTGCTCTGCTGGGGCCGCCATAACAGAGGCCCACAGACTGGGCGACTTAACAGAAATTTATTTTCTAACAGTTCTGGAGACTGGACGTCCAAGATCACGGAGCCAGCAGGACTGGATTCCTCTGAGGGCTGTGAGGGAAGGACCTGCTCCTGGGCTGGCAGATGGCCGTCTTCTCCCGCCGTCTTCATGTGACCCTCCTTCTGTGTGTCTGTGTCCAGATGTCCTCTTCTTATGGGGACAACCCTCACAGTGAGTCATCAGGCCTGCCCTAATGATCGAATTTTAATTTTATTACCTCTGTAAAGACCCTGTCTCCAAATACGGCCACATTCTGAGGTACTGGGAGTTAGGACTTCCACATATGAATTTTTTTTTTGGAGGGACACAATTCAGCTCATGACAGCCCCTCATTGGAGAAGACTCCTGGACCATTCCTTATAAAATAGTGCCCCTATTAACTGAACACATTTATTCATGTAGGTTTTTTTGAAGGTCTCCTTCTACTTAAATGTCAACCCCAGAGGGCCAAATTCTTTTTTGTTCACTGAGGTGTCTCAGTGCCTAGCTCCCTGCCTGGAGATACATAAATATTCATGAATGGATGGATGCATATAATGAAGCCATTACAAATTACTCTACAAAAAAAGCAATGACAGAGAAAGATGTTCAAGGTATATTGTTAAGTGAAGAAAGCAAATTACAAAAACCTCATGGGTAGCATAGTTTCATTTTAATATCATATGCATGTAATCTATTTTTTCTTAAAATAAAGCTTAGAGAAATGTGCAAAAAATGCTAATAGCGGATAGCTCTTGAGCCCTTGGGATGGGATTTTGATTTCTTTTTCTCTTGTTTTATGTGCATTTTCTAATTTCACTATAGTGAATATGTATTATTCTGTAAGAGGAAAAAGACAGTGCAAGTTATTAACAGTAAATAGAAGATATGTTGTCATAACTTTTAATTGGCTGTTAGGTTAAGAAAGAAAAAGACATTATTTTTCTTTTTTAAAGGGGAGTGGTGGAAGCAGAGCTTGGGGGCAATCTGTTGGAGCCCAGCAGCTGGGACATAGCCTGTGGAATCCATCCAGTCTGGGTTCAAGTCCTCACTTGTCACTTTCTGGATTCGTCTTCTAAGGCATGTCTGCCACTCAGACCGAGTTCTGGATTTTCATCTGTAAAATGGGGCAATAATGGTACCCACAGGACACTGTGGGTCCTCCAGTCTCTGGTCCGGGCTGGAATTTGATTCTTTTGATCTCAATGATTTGAAAATATCAAGACACCAAGGGTCAGAAACTAGTCCCAGATTTGGTTCTCCCTTTATTCTCTTTCAAGGGCAGGCAAGCAATATCCAGATACCCCTCACATTGCTTCTGGGCACAGGGCCTGGATTGGGTAGGACAGTGGGGCGCTTGCCACAAGCACCAAATTTAAGGGACACCCAAAGCACTCAGTAATCACAATAAGTTATAGGTTGACACAATATTTTAAAATATAAAAGTTATGTGAAAAGATATAATGAACAAGATATCAACAAGAACAAGATATCAATTTTAATAAAGACAGGATAAGTATTACTTATTTTCCTTCGCCTCAGGCTCCATTATGGCTCAGCAAAGCACTGCTTCCAGCCTACAGCCGGAAGGTAGCTGACCATCAATTATCTAAATCATTATTAATTACTTCTTAATTATAATTAATTATCCAAATTATCCTGAGCTTCAGAAGCCACATTTCTCAGTCTGTGATTGTTTGGCCTTCAGTCAAAGCTCCGTTAGGATTCCTGTAGGGAATGTGTATTTTTCTGACCCTGTTTATTCTTTTCTCCCAGTACAGACACCTAATCACAACTGCTACCTAATCATGGCTCTCTTACCTCATTGAGGACTCTGAGGAGCAGGTTTCTCGCTATTCTTTTATAGAAACATAAAATGCCAGCAAAGCATGATTCCTACCCAAAAGAGCACCAGGCAGAGTTTGCAGATGTTGCAAACTCCTCCGCTGATACTTACGGGGAAGGACACACAGACCTTGGCAAACCTTGCTGCAAAAACAGGCAATAGTGAACAGCCTGTTCATCCCATCTACTTCCTTGCATGATGGGGGTTAGGCAGGTCTTTGGTCTCAGTGGAGGGCTTCCCAAGGGACTTTATTATTACCAGATCCTGGGATTTTTATGGGTGTTACTTTATGCTTGTAAAGCAATTCAAAGTACACCTTCACGTTGTAATTGCTAGTTAAAAGTAGCAATGATGATCACATGTAAAATCCTCTTTTATGTAATGGGTTTCATTTTACACCACTCATTTGCTGAAACCATAGATTCTAAGTTGCTTTATCAAAGCCATCACTAGAAAAATGTGATGTTCTTGGTGTGTAAATCTTAGGAAATTTCCCTTACTACTCTTCTTAGTTTGATTTAACGTATAATTTTTAAAATAATAAGTTGAGTATATATATATTGACTATATATTCATATATTTAAAATATAAGTTGACATCACAAAATAGACTTAACTCGTGGCACATTTGTTTCTGAAAGCACCTGCAGAAATCTATGTTCTTTCTAACTTCTAAAAAACTCAGAGGCCAGGGGGAGAAAGGATTCTTTGGATGCCAGATTCAGTTACAGTAATTTTAGCATAATCCATTGCAAGGTGATGATCTGGATGAACTGTATAACAATGAAGAAACTGGTTTTGAGGTTTGAGTTTTTATTTTTCCCCTCCAATTGAAGGCATGTTGCTCACCACACCTTCTCTACCTCCCCCATGTTTTTAGATTGATGTGTTTACTGGAGAAGTGAAACACACTGGGATCACATAGCTGTGTTCTGTAAGAAATCTGACGGCTCTGAGACTACCATGCTAACCAGTCCCAGATATGCCAGCCTTTGCTACCTAGATGCCTGACATTCGAGTCATCAGGGACTTCCAGCTCAGGAGATGTGATATGGAGAAGAGCAGAGGAACCCAGATGACAGCTAGAACTGACACCCCTGACATATGGCCCCAGGGGAGCAGTGTCAGCCAGATCCGACTGCTAGATCCACTTTAGCTGAGGCCCTAGTCATCCTGGAGCAGGGATGAACAGTTCCCTGTGGCCTGATTTCCTGACCCAAACTCATGGGCATTACGAAATGGTGATTGTTTTAAAAAATGCTACAGGAGAACAGAAACTAGAAACAGAGGCATGAGAGAGAATAGAAACTACTAAAATGTAAGGAATCATTGTAAACAGTTTTCAAATGGTGATTGTTGGTACTCTCAATTCAACTTTTTCATTCATTTATCCATTCATTCCAGAAAAATGTATTGAGACTGCTACAAGCCAGACACTGAGTGCTGGAGATGCAAAAATAAATAAATAAACAGAATAGCTCTGTCCTAAGGAAGTACCTAGCTTCACGGGGGTGTCAGACAAGTAAACAATTACCATATAATGTGATAAATGTTGCTCTACAATAAGAGTTTGCAGAAGGAACTGATTGCATCGAAGCCTTGAGGGAATCAGAGAAGCCTTGCAGAGGAGGCTCTGCTTGAGATAAGGCTCAAAGACCAAGTAGAGGTTTACCAGATGGCCACCTTGGAGCAGCTACTGAGTTCCCAACACTTTGGGTCTTTGAGCTAACACTATGGCTGTGAAGAACAGAGCAGGCCTAGTTTGGACACTCTGACTTTGATTCCTCCTATGGTCTCAGAGTTGTTTTTTGCCTCTCCCGGGCAAACCATTGATTATATAACCAGAATTTTTTTTTTTTTTCCATAGGAGTATTCTATTTCATCTGTGTGGTACAACTGAAAAGGAACAGCTCGTGGGGTATGTGGCATTACTCAACCTGAGTTCATCACATGAGCACCTATAGTAGTCAGACCTGCTCAGCAGAAGAGCCAAGGCCCTAGTCCCAATAAAATGCATTCTTAAATTGTTGGTTTTTTGTTTATTTTAGTGTGCTTTCTATACAAACGTCTCTCTCTCTCTCCCTCTCTTTTTTAATCTCCTAAATGTTCTCCAGGATCTTTGTCTCTTTCTCCCTTTATTTTAGAGACAGGGTCTCTGTCTGTTGCCCAGGCTAGAGTGCAGTGGTACAGTCATAGCTCACTGCAGCCTCAAACTCCTGGGCTCAAGTGATCCTGCTGCCTCAGCCTCCTGAGTAGCTAGGACTACAGGTGCATGCCACTGCACTTGGCTAATTAAAAAAATATATATTTTTTAGAGACAGGATCTTGCTGTATTTCCCAAGCTGGTCTTGAACTTCTGGCTGCAAGCAATCCTCCTGCCTCAGCCTCCAAAGTGCTGGGATTTGCAGGCGTGAGCCATTGTGCCCAGCCAATTTTCTGGGCTTTACATCCACCCAGATTGTTGTCCTAGTCCCTTCTGATAGAAAAATTCTGTAGTTAATTCAGGGTGGACTCCTTGCTGTGAGGATAAAAATTGATTTGTCATAACAATAGGCTAATAGAGCCACCATAAGAAAAACATCATGTCCTAAAATCTATGAGCTTTGTTTCTAGGGTACAAACCTGGTTCAAAAGACTTCTTCAAACTTTTCCCTGCTGTCAAGTTTAATACAATTCCTCCTCCTCCTCCTCCAGTGTTGCCTTTCTGATGTCTGCTTCATTTGAAAAAGTAGCTGTCAAAAAGGCTATTAGGAGAAACTGGAGGGAATATATTAAATCATTGGAAGAAAAATGGTTCTAATGTCAGTACGGCAACTTGGCCAAGGATTCCCTTTTAAGAGAGAAGTTGACCCATCTTAAAAGTACTAAGATATCACACAAGTGAAACAAGTGGCAACAGAGAAACATGTAAATGTTGGGGGAAAAGGAGCACTGGTATGTTTTGTGGGGGTGGGGGGACACTTGCAAGCATTTAGTATATTTATTTATACCTGTCTTGTTCCAAGGTGAATTCTGCAGTGAGTTTATTTTCTGGGCTAGTGTAGAGGGCAGCTCTCTTATGAAGCTAGTTAAGTGCAGACCACATGCTGCTCTAGTCATTGGAGCTGGGAGTAGAGCAGGCATCTACTTCAGAAAACCAGGAGACCGAACAGGGCACTTCTGAAGACTAAGGCTCTTCCACTCCCACTTGGAGGTGATCTGAAGAAGTACTGGCAGTGCATTGAGAAAGATTTTAGATTCCTACAGCACCTAGACAAATGGAACTGGAAGCAGATAAACCACTCGAAGACGGAGAATAGTAAAGGACCCAGGAAGGCAAAAGGAAGCTCCTACTCTCTTAAAAACGCAGGCCCTTCCTAGAACTTATTCCATACAATACCCTGATATTTGGAATTGTAATAATAGTGGACATTAGGGGCCTGAACCGACCTGTCCAATGAGCATTATCTGCCCTGGTGATATGACAAACTATCACCCTTTTGGTTTTGTTTTTCAGAGCATCATTTCAAATAAATTACCATTCTCATCTCAACTGATTCACTTGGCAGAAACAAACTCACATGGTGCAAGAAGAGAGAAGGCAGGAGAATAATTCAGAAGGAGTAGAAAGAGACAGAAGAGGAATTGGGCAGTTTCCTAAAATAAAAGTACAAGCACCATCAAATGCCCAATTCACTGAAAAATTCAGATATCCAGATTATACTTTTTTTGAGAGAGAAAGAGAGTCTCACTCTGTTGCCCAGGTTACAGTGAAGTGGCATATTCATAGCTCACTGCATCCTCAAACTCCTGGCCTCAAGCAATCCTTCCATGTTGGCCTCCTCAAGTCCTAAGATTACAGGCATGAGCCACTGTGCCTGGCCAAGATTATATTTTTGGAAGTTGAGAATGAGACAAGTCAAGTTGTTCCCCATCAAATCAGGTACACTGGTAATTTTTAAGATTTTTGTTAAAAGATATCCTTGAGAATATGATGATAGCTGTAGACTCATTACCCAGAAAAAAAGTACATATGACTTACACAGAAATCCTATTCTATTAAAACAGCTAGTATGATACCCAAGATGGAACCAGTTAGTCACAACAAACACATAATAGACAGTAGAACCCTGATCTCTTGACCTCCATAAAACTTTCTTGCATCTAACATAAAGTTTCATTCTATAGTTTATGGTTCTCTTCACTTTTTCTGTCCTCTTAGCTGAATACTAAGGCTCTTCCACTCCCACTTAGAGTGGGAGTAGAAGTACTAGCAGTGGGTTGAAATAAGATCATTACAAACTCCTTGTATGTTTTTCATATATGCTTACAAAGGGCTTTGAAATTCGATTGTGATTATTCTTGCTTTAAGCTGAAACGTCCCTAATCTTTCCTTACAGACTGTGCACAGAGTGCTAGTTGCCTTGCAATATCCAGTTGATCCTTCCGCATTAGTCACCCTAGCTATGTGATTATACTTTTCTGAGCCTTTCTTGCAGCTAGGTAGGGCCATGTAACTAAGCTTTAAGCCAATGATTTGTAAGGCCTGTGCTATGTGGACCTTCTGAAAAATCTTCCTTGTTCCTCCCTTCCTCTACCCTCCTGTCTGGAATGAAGATACAATAGCTGCCAACCAATTGCTATCCTAGCCCATGAACGTGGTGGTGATGGGTGATGTCTGTTGACTCCTTTACTAGAAGATATGTTTCATGAGAACGGGAACCTTGTTTATCTCGGTCAAAACAACATCCCCAGCACTTAAAAAGTGTGTGGCATGTGCTAAGGAGTCAGGTATTGAATGGTTATTGAATAATGGATGAATGAATGAGTTTACTCTGAACCCATATAAACAAGGTCTCAGTTTCTCACCCAGAATCAAACTCTTGCTGAATTCGAATCACATTACTCCTGTTTGCTTCCCTTTGCTCTCCCAGACCTGCCACTGTCATAGAAGGATAGGGTGGTATTGTTGTTTTTTCTTATTGCTCTCTAGTATTTCCTTCAAACAAAATGTTTTTAAATCTATTTTCTTAACAATGCTTCCTAGTATCTTGCTGCTTAGCAAGTCTAAAATTTTCAACTTTCAAAGTCATATATATCTGTTTTTGTGTGTCTGTTGTTAAATGCAGGCACTATTTTGTAACTTAAAATAGGCATTGTCTCAAGTCTACAAGAATCATCTAAGATAGTATCTAATGACACTCCTAAGACTTCAGACAATATTATTATTATCACAGAATGCAGTCACTACGTCCTGAGGATTTAACTAGATCTTGGTTACTGAAAGTGAATTTCATTGAATCATTTCCCATTCCACCATGCTCTCCCACATTTTAACGTATCACCTATTTTTGTCCTCAAAATTAAGTCTTTTAAACAGAATTAAATTAAATATATTTAATCATCTCACCATCCCTGATTTTTGAGTGCTGTGGTATCAGCCTAGCTCACAGCAACCTCAAACTCCTGGGTTCAAGCCTCAGCCTTCTGAGTAGATGGGACTACTGCACATGCCACCATGCCTGGCTAATTTTTTCTTTCTTTCTTTTTTTTAATTTCAGGATATTGTGAGGGTACAAACATTGTGGATACATTTTGTATTATAATTTTTTCTATTTTTAGTAGAGACGAGGTCTCACTCTTGTTCAGGCTGATCTTGAGCTCCTGAGCTCTAGTGTTCTACCCTCCTTGGCCTCCCAGAGTGCTAGGATTACAGGCAGGCATGAGCCACCATGTCTGGCCCCCTGTCGAAGTAAAAGAATAACACTCCTTCTGCCCCTTTTTGTGGTCTCTTATATGGTTATAGGGTTTGTAAATATTTACACTTTTTGCAATTACATATCTTTTTCTTTTTAATTTTTCTTTTACTCTTCCCCCAAAGTTGTTGCTATTTCTTTTAACTATTTGAGGGAAATAATTAGCCCTATTTTTCAGTTTTGTGATATACCTATTTATACCTGAGCTGCATGGTTTTTGCTCAAATTTCTTTTCAACTTTGAGGAAAGACATTGTTTGGGTTTTGTTAGGTATATTGAGCTTTTCTGATGTATAGACTTCTGTGTATATAATTCCCTTTCCCAGAGGAATTTTCCAAGTAGAAGTCTATTAAAATGGAGAAAGAGGTTATCAAGAGAGGTCTCCCTAAACCTCTTATCTGCCAGAAATGTCTCTGTAGTAACACAGGTTCTTTCTCCCTCTTTGCTTTTGTATCTGCCCAAAACTACTCTATCCATGCTCTGGACTACATCTACTTCTGACTTATTGGGGACTTTATGCCATTAATTCTGTCTTGTCTAACTTCAAAAAAAATTTTTTTTCTCCATTGGCTGTTACCCTTTCACTCAATAGTATACTCACTTTTTCCTCCTCATCTTGGAAAAAAAAGGTTCCTTAACAATACATTTCCCTTTAACTATTAATACTACCACATCTCTCTTCTCAGCCAAATATTTGAGAAAAGAAGCCTTCAGTTTCTGTCTTCACTTTCTCACCACTTCTTCACTTCTTTTGCCATTGCCTGCCATCCAGTTCGTTCACAAACCCCACCCCCCAATCGCTGAGTTGCCAAAGCTAATGGCATTTGTTGTCCCTTGGCAACGTATGACTCTGTTCCTTAGGGTATTATGTATTGGGTGCCTATTGATCAGGCACTATGCTAGGTGCTGCTGTTATAGAAATAGGAAGCAGGGGTCATCTCCATTCTGATGAAACTTGCCTGATCAGACATTCCTCATTAATACTCAGGTCTCTTTGCTCGGTACCCACTGCTCACCTTTGCAGGATTCACCTGATGCCTCTTAAATCTCCCTATTTTTCCTTCCCAGCCCCCTTATTGTATACAACTTCTCAAGGCAATCACTTCTGTACACATGGCTTCAATTGTTTTCTATATGCTCTGATGACAATATAATTTTAAATGCTGTTTTCATTTAACAGCTTTATTTTACACAACACCTCATTTGCTAAAACCATAGATTCGAAGTTACTCCATGAAAGAAATAACTTTAAAATGTGATATTCTTAGCATGTAAATTTAAGGAAATCTCCCCAATTACTCTTAATGGTTTGATGTAGTATGTGTGTTATCTTTGAAAACATAAGTTAGGATCTTAGAAAATAGACTTAGCCTACAGAGGTTTATATCCAACTTTCAATCAGAGCGCTATATTTCAATGTACCTCTTAGAGTCAAAAACTATCTTCTTTACCAAACCTATTTTTCTTCCTGCATTCTCCGTCTAGGAGAAAAGTACTGCTGTCTACCCTGCCCTTTTGTCTTCCTACTTTCGCCCTTTTTCCACATCTAATCACCAAGCACTTTCTACTCCATCTCCCAAATGACCACAAATTCTTTCCTTCCCCACCAGTCACTGCAGCTGCCTTTAGTTTGAATACTCACTTTTCTCCTAGATGAACTTAGTGTCTCTTAATTGGTCCTGCTGCTTCCTTCAATCCTCCTTACTGTGCAAGTGACCTCACTGCAGACACATCCAATAACGACTATTCAACTTCACGTGGTTCAGTGGCTCTCATGTTTGCAGGATAAAATTCAAACTCTTTACCCCAGCATCTAATTTGGGGTCAGATAAGTCTGAGTTTGTATCCCAAATTCAAGCACTATCCAGCAGCATGACCTCAGACAACCCGACTCTCTAAGCCTCTGTTTTCTCATGTGCTTGAACTTACCCAAGGTTGGGACTGTTTCATACATACAGTGACTGGCACATAGAAGGGACTTAATGTTAAATGAAGGAAGGCATTTTAAAGTCCACATCAAAAAGTTGTTCTTTTAAAAGTATGTTAATATACAGTGTCATTCCCCTTCCCCAAGCTTGACTGCTACCTTTATTTTCTTATAATTAGGTTCAGGGGTTTGTGGTAATCCAGGCTTCCTGAGATCAAATTCTAGCTCCCCCAGCCCCACCCTGAGCGATTGTGTGATCTTGGGGCAAGTATTTAACTTCTATGTCTCAATTTCTCCTGTAAAATCTGTAAAATGGGATCGTTTTGGAGCTTTAAACGAGTGTACCACAGCTGGAACAGTATCAGGCACACAGTGCTTGCCAAATGTTAACTATCCACCTTCATCGAATCACGACTGTGGTACCTCACTGTGTGGTTGTCAATTTTGTACGGGAAAATCGTGCTTTATGCATTGTTGTCAGTAAAAGAAGGAAAATCTGGAAAGTCCTGCCGCGGAAGGGGGGCGAGAAAAGGGAATTGGCGAGTCCTGAGCGTTTCAGAGCTGGAGAGACGAGTTGGGTCCCTAATTTTACAGACAAGGAAGTGGAGGGCTGACGTGTCTCACTAAGGACACACAGCCACAGGCTTTACTGAGAGTACGGTCAGGGCCCGGGGGTTGCTATCTATGGTCAAGCTGTAGGTAAAAACTAAAACTCCTTGGAAGACAGGAGAAGAGCATTTAGTTACAGGAACAGTCAACAATTTGGGTGTAACCAAGTTCGGTGAGCAAATGAAAGCTGTCAGGGTCGGACAAACTGAGTTGCTGCTGGAACCCGAACCTCACTAACAGGGGCTTTCTATAGAGCCCATGGAGGAGAATGGCTTCCAGCAACTAATGCCCGCCGGGCTTCCCTCCGGACCGGAAAGCTCCCGGCAGCCTGCGATGAATGAAAACCCGGAGCCCGGCGCTCACCGTGGGAGGGGCGGGGCTGGGCATTGTGAGTCACGTGCCCGGGCTCTGAGGCGGGGGCCCGGAGGGAACTCTGGGCGTGATTGGCTGCTTGTAACCAGGTGACCGCAGGATGCGATCCGGTTGGCCAGTGCCGGCCAGGGCGAGCCGGCCTTCAGTTAGGAGGCGGCGGCGGAAGGAGGAGGAGCTCTGACCACGCTCTCTCCCGGCAGTGGCTGTGACTCTCGGCGCTTGTTGGGTCTCCACCCCTTTTAAATAAGCCCGGCTGGTCGCCGCCCTCGCACACAAGTCAACTCGGGGGAGGCGGCGGCGGCGCGGCAGCGGGGGTGCGGCCGAGGCCGGAGCCCTGCCCGGGGCAGGGCGGCGGGGCGGGCGGGCGAGCAGCGGGCGAGGCCGCGTCTGCCAGCGCGGTGCAGCCCCGGCACAGCCCGGCGTAGCCCGGGGCTGCCCGTGCCGGCCGCGCCATTGTTGGGGGAGGGGGCGGCTGTTCGGCGCGGCGGAGTCGGGGGCGAGCCGAGGCGCGGGCGGCGGGCAGCGGCAGAGCGGCGGAGGCGCCCCATGGGGACCACGCTGAGCTGCTGCGTGTCCCCCAATGCCAGCCCCAAGCTGGGCCGGCACACCCGGCCGGCGGAGCCAGACTACGAGTCTGAGATCTACGAGGCGGTGGCCGCGGACACGGTGGCGGTAGCGCCGGCGCCCGCTGCCGTGGAGCCTGTGGAGTTGGATTTCGGAGCCGGCGAGGGCCACCACCTGCAGCACATCAGCGACCGCGAGATGCCCGAAGGTAAGGAGGGGGCGGCGCAGGGTCCCCCGGGAGCACCCGCTGCGTCCGGCTCCTTCCTGCCGGCAGCCGGCTTCCCTGGGGCTGGGCACCGGGACCAAGGCTGGCTCTGCCCGTGTCCCCACCCTTTATTCTTTCCCCGCCGCGTCCGGCCAGTTTCTTTCCCTCCTCCCTACCCGAACCCCCAGTTCTCGCCCCCACTCCCCGTGCCCCCAGACTGGCATGGGACCCTCCGGTCCACGGCCCTTGTCGTTGGTAGCTCTGTTCATCGTCCCCTGGGGCTTGATAAAGACTTTTTTGATATATTCTTTCCCTTTTTTCAATGAAAGCTCAAACACCCTAACTTCGAAGTCCCCATCCCATTTCTGTCCTCACCCATCCAGATGGTACCTAAGTGAAGGAGCCAGGTAGGGTTCTGGTTGTTTCCTTCCTCCCACTCGTTAAGATAGCTGATACTTGGGCAATTCAGACCCAAATGTTTGAAGATTTCTTATTTAAATTCAAAGTAGAGGTTGCCATAGGAGAGTTTATGTGGTATGCTTACTAGGCTGTTTTACCTCACCTTGGTCCAAGCTGCTTTATTCCTTCCAACTATAATTTGAACACACAAAACAATTGGGAGGGGTTGCATAAAATATCTGTGAAAGTTGTGAAATATTAACGCCAGGGCTGCAGGATTTTTTTTTTTTTCCAACCCAAAGTAGTTTACTCGCAATGTTCTGATTACTTTAAAATTCCTACTTTGACACATATATTTTCAGTCCTACTCCGGTGACTTAGCAGACTTCATCTACCTCCTTTAAAGGAGACGTAGGGGTGGTTCATGCTCAACAGTTCGAAAGGGATGAAACATAGTTTAGGGAGTTAAAATGCCATATCTTGCCTGCCCAAGACCGTTAGTTTCTATGGCTCCTCTCCTTCGCCCCCACCGTAGAATCCTGTTTAAAGATAAGAGTGTTGAGGTAAAAGGTCTTTAGACGCTAAACCACTGCGGGCGTGGGGAGGGAGAATGGTAAGGGGGAGAAGAGAAGAAATTTGATTTTTTTTTTTAACCTCTAGAATTTTGGAAAGGGATGACTCCAGCTAAAAATAATTCAGGGTAGCAAGGTGGTTCTTGAATAAAAACTAAGTCCTTTGAAGTAGAAAACATTGTATCATAAAGATGTTTAAGTGCATTTGTCTCATTGCTTTCATTTAAATGCCAGTGGTTTCATTACTATAGAGGAAATGCCTTACAGCTCTTCTATTTAAACTTTGGTTGAGCTCTTAATTTGTTTAAAAGTTAGAATAATTAAGCCTCATGGTGGATGTGCCTTTGTAACTGGGAAGTACTGTACTCACTTTTCAGAATGTTCAAAAATTGTAATGTGAACTAATTGTACGATTATACACAAAGCATGTAAGTACTTGTGAAAACTTCTGCTCCACTTAATGGTTTAAGGTGAGCCTCTGAATGATTTTACAAACCAGTTGATGGCTAGTGTTGGATGAGAGCCCAAAATAGGTTCTTTATATCATTCTTTAGGATTTACAACGCGTTTTCATGTACATCTCAATTGGCCCTTCTAAGTTCAAATAAGGCCTGTGTATATTCTCTCTATATTGCTGATGAAGAAATGAAGACTTAGAGATCAGTAATGACTATGTAAGATAGCTACTGAATGGAGCTAAGGTTCTAAATCCTCTTAACTGACATAGTGGTGGTAGATATGCCTAATTTGGTTGTTAAAAAACTTTGAAAACTGAGGAATGCATCTTATATTTTATATGCATCTTATATGCATATAAATATGCATCTTATATACCCATAAAGTAGATCTATCTCTTAGAACTAACTCCCATCTTTATTAGCTCCATTCAAAGTTTATTTTACACAACTCAGAGGCAACATTTGCCTCTCCATCTTTTTTTTTTTAAAGAGGGGAGGGGCAGGTTTCACTCTGTTGCCCAGGCTGGCCTCTAATTCCTGGCCTGAGATCAAGCTTCCCACCTCTGCCTCCTGAGTAGCTGGGACTACAGGCCCAGGCCACCTTGTCTGGATTCCATCTTATGTCTATACATTCATTTCAATGGATAAGAAAAGTACAGGTAAAAAAAAATGACCTAAATTTACCAGTCAAATAAATGGGTTAATAAGTTTTAAAGAATTTGTTCTGGTAACTGTCAATCTAAGCCAAGAATGCCCTGGGTAGAGGAATATTAGTAGAAACTGATAAGAAGGCAAGTAAGATACCAGACATTAAGCACAGGACAATGGTAAGGAGTGAGTGTTAAATTAGAAAAGTTGAAAAAATACTTTCTGAGCATAGAATTTACCATTTCATATTTTGTTAGCATGACAGTTAAATTTTCATTTCAGTTTGTCTCTTAAAATTTAACTTTGTGGGATTCAGTAAAGTAATGAGAAATCTCAATTTTAGCATTTGCCTATTATCCTGAAGTTTCCATAGAAACTTAGAACACCAAATATAAAGTATAGACACATTGAAAGTTTGCTTTTAATATCTCTGTTTCAGACCATTTTATATCAGTTTCCCTGGAAACTGAGAAATTCTTGCTTAGATGTAAAACACTTTAGCTTTTCTACAATGAAGAATTGAATTATTTTGGTTACTTAGACAAAATCAAACATAAATGATGCTCTGCTTTGTTCTTCTCTGAAACATTTCAGAAGAACATGATTTTTTCAAGCCATTTCAAAAAGATGTTGCTAAGAATCTAGTAAAGATTTCAGGTAGATTAAAAAGTATTTTCTACCACCTTACCTGTATCTAATACAACTGATGGTAGTAACAGTAACAAAATCGGCTACTAAGATCTTACTCAATTTTATTAGTACTCATCAGCTTTTTACACAGTGTTTTATATTCTGACTTTAGGAGCTTTGCTAATTTGCTAGCTAAAAGCTCTCTCTCAAGTAACCCCTTCCTCCTCCTCCCGTGAGGGGTCAGGGCAGGGAAAGAATTCACCATATGGTGGGGAAAAACTTCCGAGCAACAGATCTTTCCTCTTTCTAGTAGCTATTTTAAATCTTTTTTTTTTCTTTTGCTCTTTTCATAACAGTATCAATGTGTTAATGTAAAAGATTTAGAAAATAAAAGCCATTCATTAGACTTTTAGAAAATAAAAGTCATTCATTAGACTCAGAATACCAGAGCTAACTTTTATTAATATTTTGGTATTGATTCTTTCTGAACTTTTTGTATGCATGTGAATATAACATTGTGTTCATTTTACAAAAATGGAGTTCATGTGTGCTGCTTTGTAATTTACTTAAAGCAGTGAAATAATGACACAAGTTCCTGAAACAGTAGTATGACTTCTAGAGAGCACTCCAGGATGTCTTTTCATACCAGTGCACACTGCTCTATCTCCTGCCTTTTAAGAACTGCTTAGTGTACCATCGAATGGTTAGAGCATCATTTATTTACCTACCCATCTTTTTTTTTTTTTTTTTTTTTTTGAGACAGAGTCTCGCTTTGTTGCCCAAGCTAGAGTGCCATGGCGTCAGCCTAGCTCACAGCAACCTCAAACTCCTGGGCTCGAGCGATCCTTCTGCCTCAGCCTCCCGAGTAGCTGGGACTACAGGCATGCGCCACCATGCCTGGCTAATTTTTTATATACATATCAGTTGGCCAATTAATTTCTTTCTATTCATAGTAGAGACAGGGTCTCGCTCTTGCTCAGGGTGGTTTCGAACTCCTGACCTTGAGGAATCCACCCGCCTCGGCCTCCCAGAGTGCTAGAATTACAGGCGTGAGCCACCCCGCCAGGCACCTACCCATCTTTTATAGTAAATCACACACTTTCCCTTTATGCTTGATTCGAGGGACATATAAAAACATTTTGATGTGTTGTACCTCTCTACAGAACTCAGATGGTGTGTGTATGTATTATATATATTTTATTTCTGAGGTGGTATATTTTGTCTTATGTAATTAAATCCATGGGATGAGTTATTTTGTACTTAAGGTATTTTAGTATTAAATATTCTAATGCTAAATTAAAGTTACCATTGACTTTTCACTGGACATTAGAATTCCTCCTCTAGGTTTTTGTGGTTCTTGGTAGCCTATCTTGCGTCTTCAGTTCTGAATAGCTACCACTTTAAGAGGTCTGATGCTGATCTTAGATGACAAATCAAGAAATAGCATTAGAAGAAATCTTAGGAGATGTGAGAAAACTGGGAGAAACTTTACTAGTTTGGGGTATATTAAATAGATGTTTGTTGAGCACCTTTGAGTGGCCAGGTGGTGTTCCAGATGCAGGGCAAACAGTGGTATACAAGACAAGACCCCCAACCTAACTCTGATCCTTACATTCTAGAGGGAGCTGGGGTACGTAATACATGAATAATCGAGAATGGCAGGTAGTGAGGTGCTGGGAAGAGAGTAGAATAGGGTAATGGATTGGAGAGGAGGGCAGTTTTACAGGGGCATGTGTGTAAGATGACTGCTCTCCTTATATAACTTGTGAGTAGTTCTAAAAGTGAGGGGTAGCCATGTGAGAGGATGGGGGTTGTGGGGGCACAGAAGTTTCTAGGCAGAGGGATAGCTCCTCAGGAGAGCCTCGAAAGACACAGGGTGGCTGCAGCAGAGTGAAAGGGATGTGAGGAGGATGTGGTGGGCTAGGCCTTGTGTGCATAGTGGGCCTTGACAAAGAATATAGACTTAACGTTGTGATGGGAAGCCATTGGAAGATTATAGCCTGAGAGTAATGTTAATTCTTTAAGAAAAAGGTCAGACTAGTTGCTGTGTGAGAACACACTGTAATGCAACCAAGGGTGGAAGCAGGGAGACCAGTTAGGGGTCTGGTGGAATAGTTCATGTGAGAGCCAACAGTGAATAGGAAAATAATAAGGACCTAAAATAGGCTGACTTGAACAAAGTAAGTGAATCTAAAAGTAGATAAAGTTATGAATAGACAAGTCACAGAAAAAGAAAGGCAGATGATCCTTAAACATATCTTCACACATAAGAGAAAAGCAAATGAAACTGTACTGC